CGAGGAAGTGGCATCGAGTTCATTCGTATGGTGGCTCCATGACTGGAGGTACCTGTGTCCTGGCAGGAGGAGCATAGGATGGGAAAAGATCCATGGTTGTTTTCTCTTGGATTTTGTTTTTGTTCAACAAAATCCATCATATTTTTATTGGCAAATCATTATAGTGCATACTAATGACAAAATCATGCATGCTTTATTGTACCATTTATTCTCTAAGTGAAACCTGTGATGTATCTTTTTTTTTGGCAGGACTGGGGATTGAACTCAGGCCCTTGTGCTTGCCAGGGAAGCGCTTATTCCACTGAGCCATCTCCCCAGCCCCCTGTGATGTATTTTATCCTTCCATAAAACTTTTTATGCATTAGTTCATTTTTCCTTGCCACTTCAGAGAAAATGATGTGAGCACATGAAATAGCTTTCTTGTGGTCACCCATTCTGTGAGTTGAGGAGGGTGGATTCTGTAGGTGGCTTGAGTCCAAATCCACAGTCTGGATCGTGGAGAGATAATACATCGTCTCATCTCATTATACCAAATGTTACGTTGATTTTGTTTATTTGGAATGAGTGAAAGTAAGGCATGAAAGGAATTAGCATGAATATTGGGCAGAAACTTGATTTTATAATTTCTACTGTTTCGTTTACACAGCTGTGTGCTCCAAGCCCCCAGCTTTCCCTCTGCTGCTATCATAAGACCTCTGGGGTGGCCAGCTGGCCTGTGTCTGCTGATAGATCAGAGGACTGCGAGACCGTGCACTTAGAGGGCCATTGATTGCCACCTTGTCCAGCCTCACAGCCCATCCCCATGAGGAGGACTAAAAGCACAGGCTCTGGGATTTATGGCTGGAGTGGGGTGAGGAAGGCTTTCTAAAAATGTATTACTTTTTATATTGAAAAGCCTTCCTCCACTTAGATCTCACCGAAGATGTCTGGTAAGAAGTGTTTCTAACCTAGTAGTCAATATGTATTTGTATAAATCATTTATAGCCATGTTTTAGGAAATGTTGCCAAGAAAAGATGGATAACTACTTTGTCTAATATGAAGATTTACTCTTCTGAGAAGTTTCAGATGTATTGATTAGAACAAGGATGCCATACTTTATTCATCTTCATACTTTAAAAACTACTGCTTAGAAATGACAGTAATTCCCAGTTGAATACTGGTGCAGTAATGCCAGACTTCTCTGCTATTCCAGCTGTGCAGTATTTCCCTCCTCCCTTGCAAATCCAGGCATCCCAACAGGACCAGTCTCCCCTCTCTCCTGAGCTGTCCCCATCCTTCTCGACCTCCTTGTTTCTAAGTCTTCAGCTTACCCTCTAGGCTGTGTTACAGTGCGCCATTTCAGCGGACTCCCACCTTTGGAGGTGAGGAAGGCAAGCCCTAGATTTAGATATTCAAGTCTTGGCTTAGTTTTTGGCTGGCTAGTCATTTTACCTTCCTTTGTTTTTCATCTTTGAAGGAAGGATGTCTTGGTTACTTTTCTCATTGCAGAGACAAAATACCCAACACTCAAAGTTCAAGGAGGAAAGATTCATTCAGCTCACTTTGTAGAGGCTTTGGTTCATAGTTGCCTGGCTCCAAGGCAGGGTGGCATGGCATAGGAGAAATCATTTATGGCAGGCAGAAGGAAGCAGAGTGGCAAGTGACAGGTGACCACAACAGCTCTCTTTCTGTCCCTTACATTCTATGCAGGCAATGTACCTTAGGGCAGGCAGCGCTCACACCCATGGAGGACTTCCCATCATGTAGTGCCAGAGCTATGTCAAGTCAGTCAGTGGACTACATTAGTAGTCAGACGCCCTTGATCCTAGCAGCATGCACCTAATTCCAGCACCACACACATTAAGTCTAGTCACCTCTGACAAGTCCCACCTATGATCTCATGAGATGTTGGGGGGACATGAAGGCACAAGCCATAACAGAGGGGATGGTGGTCTAACAGACTTTTGTGCATGCTTCCTGATTCCTGTTCCTGTTGTAGTAGGTCACTTCCTCCCTTTCAGTGTGGACAGGCTTTATGACATGCCCCTTGCTGCCAGAATATGGCAAAGGTTGTGCAATACACATGATTATGTTAACTAGGAAGGTAGCATTTGCTTTGCTATGAAACTCTCTTCTTTCCCGGCCATGAAGAAGCAAGCTGCCACAGTAGCTCACACAGTGGCCCAGGCTGGCAGACTGTGGGGAGCTGAATGCTGCCAACCATCACAGGGGCTTTCAAACTCTTCTCTTGCCAGTCAAGTCTCAGATGGGAAGCCAGGCCCGACTCACACCTTGGGTACAGCAGCAGAGGACCCTAGTTGGACCTGGCATCATGGTATGAGATAGAAAATATGTGCTGTCTTAAACTGTGAGCTTGTGGTTATGTTGCTGTACAGCAATAGCTAAGCAATAAGAATAGCATCCCCCTTATGTAATTGTTGCAGAAGTTAAATGAAATAATGCTCGTTAAGGCTCAGTTTCATCTCACTGCATAAAAGATGACAAAATGTTCATCTTCTGACTTCCACACCATGACTTCTGCTTTTTGCTGATCTTCCACCAGTTGAATCTCTGAAGCACATACCAGTATTGGAAGAGAGGTTTGCTTATCCTCCCTTCCAGGTGACATACATATTCCTCCAGAATTTCCTTCAGACCAAGTCTTTGCTCTAACAGCTCTAGTGAAAGGCTTTCTCCCAAAGTCAGGGCCTTAGCCTTGTTTTCCTAATCAGACACAGGTCCTTGGCAGCCAGGTCAGCAGACTTACATCATGGGCATTTGAAACTTCAGCCCTGTTCAGAGATCTGGTGGAACTTTATGGGAAAGAATGTTTAACCCCTGCGCACTGAAAAGTGCTCAACATTATTGAAATTTGGGAGGGGCAAATTAAAGCCATAATACTGTACTAACAACACTATCGGCAGTCAATATTGGCAGGTGTGTACAGTACATGAAACTTCTCTGGTGGACATGTGGGCTAGTAAAACCACTTGGAAAACTGGTAGCATCTGCTCAAGCTAAAAATAAACATAACATATAAGCTTAGAAGAATCATAAGCGCCTGTCAACCAAAACTGTCCAAGCTGCTTTCTTTGTGTTAGTGAGATGGAAGGAAACCCCAAGTGTCTGACTGTCAGAGGAGAATGAATACACTATGCTAAATCTGCACCATGGAAAACTACAGCCCTGCAATGGAAAGCAGTAAGTGTTTTTTTGCACAACATGGGTGACTGTCCCCGTCACAATGTTGAGTGAAAGATAGCAGCTTCTACACAGAAAAATACTCGATGACTTCATTTGTATGAAGTTTGTCAATAGGCAAAGTACTCTGTTAGGCTTATACCGTCTTTTGTGTGCCTTTGGTTGGCTCAGGCATAGCATTTTTGTAGTATTAGCAACAAGGGAGAGGCCGGGTACAGAACTTTGTGTATCCCAAAGCACAGGCAAGGAGCAGGATGTGTAGACGTGCATGAGAGAGACACTAATAAGAGAGGCACTTGTGCTTTGGCTTGCCAACGCTCTGCTGCTCAACAATGACCCCCTGCTCTGCAGGACTCTCCAACTTTCTCTGCAAGCACTTTTATCCTATTGTCGTGGTATGAATTCTTTAAAAAATTGATTTAACACGAACTCAGATTCCCTATACTTAACCCCCACCTATTCCTGCCTACCACATCGCACATTTGAGTATAATCAGCAAAGCTGCAGGTGACAGGAAAATGGATTCCTGTGCAGGTGACTTGTAGCCTGGACTCTGGTTATCTTGTTATCCGGGAAATCCTCACAGAAACAAATCCACGTAGAACAAAACCCAACATGAAGATGGAGTCAGGTCTTGGGTCAACACGCGTCACTTTTTTCCCATGCTGAGGCTCGCCGGTGCTGGGCCTTGAGACCCAGCCTTCATCCTGGATGCATAAGTCCTGGGCAAGGAGCACACATGGTGGGCAGTGGTGGGAGTGGGTCTGGCTTCCTCCCTCCCTTTGCAGAGGCATTAAAAAGGATTTTGTTTTCCCTAAGGCACTGGGGATTGAATTTAGGGCCTTTGGATTGCATTGTCCCCTCAGCTCCTTATTTATTTATTTATTTATTTATTTATTTATTTATATTTTAAAACAGGGTCTTGCCAAGTTGCTAAGATGCCCAGGATATGCCGGAACCCGCAGTCCTCCTGCCTCAGCCTCCCAGAGTGCTGGAATTACATATTGTATGCCACAAGGCCAGGCTCAAACTTGGATTTACATGTTAATCCTTGCTGAGAATCTTTTTATGATAGGGAGCACATGCCTGTTATTTTTGACATGTGCAAATGCATCTGAGACTCTTTTGTGACAAGAGCCTCTAACTATCTGTCCTCCTGGAATCTTGAAGCACCATGGGCATCCTGTCCGATGGGCAAAAGGGTTTGTTTTTTTAAGATTAGAAGTAGGAGTGAAGCAGAAACCTCCTCAGGCTCCACAGGGGTGAGACTCCTTTCCTGGCAGCTGCTGCTGGCTTCCTAGGTCCTCACTCCCTCCTGGGGCGGATCAGACCCCCTGGTGCTGGGTGTCACTGTTTCGCTAGCGCGTTGTGCACATTTTCTTGCTAAGCAGCGATTAGCAGTGCAAGTCCTGCCTTCTGTGAGTTCAGTTCGGGTTTCCCACGTGGGTCAGTGCTTTGGTCTGTGCAGTGCCGCTGCAGCGCTCAGGGTTTGGCCAGCACTTTCTGCAGAAGGCGGGAGGAGAGATGGCGGAGGTAGCCGTGGGTCCTCAGCATTCAGTGGTATGGTTTTGAAATGGTATTTCCAGAAGAACCTTCTCTAATTAGGCATCCAATGATAGGAAGGCAATGCTAAAGGCTGGGGATAAGCTCAGAGCAATTGAATTTGGCCTTGAGGGGGAGCTGATAACAGCAGAATAATGATGAAAATCTTGGAGAACAAACTGAAGGTCCAGAGCAAGAAGAGAAAAAAATCTTTTACCAGAGAAAGGCCTCATAATATTGGAAGGAAAGGCTTGTCTTATAATCTTGTACCACGCAGAATTCTTTTGAGTTAATGGGACAGCATGAAAACAATAGGTCCTGAAAAAAAAAGTAAAAGAGGAAAGGAAAGAGGGAAAATAATAATAAGAAAAACTCCACTAAATAAAATGTACCTAGTTGTCCTCTATCTGTAAGAGAAGAAAAAATGATCTAGTTTAAATACTGCCTCTAGGAAGGTAAGGTTTTTGGAGCAATATTTTGGTTAGGCCAGTAAAAGCACTAACATTTCAGAACTCAGTAAGTGTAAGAGTGTGCTTACTTTTCTATGTGTATTAGAAGAATGTTGCTTAAAAATTCTGAACAATCATATTTATCTCATTCTGTTAAAGAAGGGAAGAAATTATGGTTAAAATGTTTAAGAAAGATGGACCAAGAGATTTAACTGTTTTCATAACAAGAGGGCTATTTTGTAAGTCTCTTCTTAAAATCTTGAAGAAAGAATCAGGGCAGATCATAGTAGAGAGGAACTAGAGCTGAAGGCAGAATATTAGATTTTTTGGGGGGTCCTGGGGGTTAAACTGAGGCAGTGCTGGGCTCCAGCTCTTTAGTTGCCAGGCTGTCCTTAAACATGCATGCTCCTGACTCAGCTTCCCAGTAACTGGGATTACAGGTATTCCAGCTGTATTACTGGGATTACCACTGTGAATGGCACAATATCAGATTTTAGTTCTGGTTTGTGGCTCTTGGGAAAACACAAGAAAATGCTGTCTAAAATGGTAAAAAGATTTATTGGTAATTAACATTTTGAAGTTAAAAATATCAATCATGGAAGAGCCAAATTCTCTCACAATGTAAGAAACTCTGAGTAAAAATCTTTGATTAAAAACTCCTTTCAGATAGTTACTCCATGAACATTTGGTTCTCCTTTCAATAATTTCAAACTCTTTGACTTTGGCTTTCTTGAACATAATCTGATACCTTTCACTTCAGTTCCATTCTGTGTGACAGACAGCTATTGAACTCACTGTCTCCATGTAGATATCTGTAGATAAATAAAGGTTGTCCTGTCCTCAAAGAACAGACAGTCTAAGGGACTAGAGAGAAAAAAAAGTAGAAAAAGGCATGTATCAGGCTTCAGCATGAAGTTAGAAGTCAGTTCTGGAGAAGGGATCTTCACGTTAGCTCATTCGGAGGTCAAGAACAGGTTTCTAGAGGTTGTGACAGGTGAACTGGCTGGGTTTTATATGAATCTGGTCTGGACTGCATGCCCGGAGTTGGTGCCAGGGCATCGCTCTGGAGGAGAGGAGGTGGAGAGGGGAAGAACTTGATGTGTCCATGTGCTCCTGTATCTCTAGGATATGTTTCAGTGAGGAAGTATCCATGCATAATAAAAAAAAAAATCCAGAGGCAAAAAAGAGAATTTCCACATTCTTTATGCCTCAGCCACTTTCTTACTGCTGAGGTGAAAAGCTCCTACCGCACTGGCTCCATGCCAGAAACAACATGGCAGAAAGCGCTGTTTAACCCTTGGCTGCCTGGAGACAGAGGGAGAAGGAGAGCCGTGCATAGGAGCACGCCCTGCCAGGTCCCCCCAGGGACCCTCCCCTGCCTACCCCACTTCCTGCAGCACACTCAGCTGCTAAACTCATGAATCCACTGGTGCATACAGAGCGCCCGCACTTCAGTCACCTTCCACATGCACTGCACACTTACAGGTATGTGTAGAGGGGATCTTGCTTCAGGCCAAAACCTAGCCCCAGGATGGAAAGGTGCAAAATATAAGGTGTGCTCTGCAGAGCAGGTACTAGGGGACCTGCTCACTCTCTGCTTTATCCATCATCTGTCTGTCCTCCTCTGTCACCAAAATAACAGGATTGTTCAACCCTTTCCATCTGGGTTATTACTTCTTTAAAAAAATAGTCTTTTAAAAAACTGAACTTATTCCTTCAGAGTATCAATGGAAAAGATCTGGCCATTGAAAAAGTACAAAAAAAAAGAAAAAGTGTAGTTCTATGGTTAGCAGAGCAGAGCTAGGTGTAAGGCTTCTCGTGTTGCACGCTGTGTTTATGTGGCAAAAGTGATGGAATCAGAGAGTTCCTGGAAGGCAGCACATCAAAGAAGCAAGCAGCTTATTGCCTTTTCCTGGACTACAGATGAGTATTCTAGTTTTGTGGGTAGGGCAGCTGCATGTGGTCCCTGAGGTGATCCGGTTCTTTCTGCCGCATCTTCAGCCCTGCTGTAGGGCACTGAGTCTTCTTTACATTTGGGGCTGGTGCCAGCAACACATGGGTTCTAGCTGAAGAGATGGGATTGGGAAGACAGGAGAAAGAAGGCAGAGCTGCTGGGATTGGCAGTGTGCTCTTCACTTCCGGGGTGGCCACACCTGCTGCAAGGGACGCGGGAGGACGCAGTCCACTTAGGCAGTTGTGTGACCTTCTGCAATTTAACTGCAGTGGAAAAAGGGAAGGCTGGATTTCTTTGAGCAACTAAGAGTTTCTGCCACACACAGCAAATGGGCAGTACGTGTGTGTGGATTATGTCATCATCCTTCGACTGTGTCCAGGTCTTTTGCGTAAGCTAACCTGAAAATAAAGGCCCCCTTCTAAATTCATGTTATGGAGTTTTGGAATTTTATAGACTTCATATTGATCCCTCCTGGTGCAACTTTGTTGAGTTTTGACACATTATTTCCATCAGTTGGAATAATTTTAAAGACTGATTTTTGTCATTGAAAATATATTTCAGTTTTATGTTATCCACACAAATGATCACCATGAATTCTGTTTTCACTGGAATAGATGTTAGGAATGTTGCATATTTCTGTGGGTCCCTCATAGTTTTCTTTCTCTCCTCCTCCTCCTTCCTCCTCCTCCTTCCTCCTCCTTCCTTCTCCTCCTCCCCATCTTTCTCCTTTTCCTGCTCCTTCTTCCACAAGGTATGGCTATGTCACTATGTAGTTCAGGATGGCCTTGAACTCACTATGGAGCCCATGGTGAATGAGCTGATATCTCAGCTGAGTTAATAACCAGAAAAGACAAGAAAGACACAAAGATCCCTTTCAAAAGCCAAGTAGTGAACAAGGTTGGGTAGCAGGCTGCTGGACCAGTAGCCCCTTTGCTGATTCCTGCTCGTTGTTTGAGCTCTCGTGCAAAGTGATTCTTGGTGTATAAGACAGCAGGGATGGAAAAGAAGAACACAGCTCAGCAGAAGGTGTGAGCTGCAGTACAGGGAGAGGACCGAGCCCTAGTCTGCCGGCTGTGGCAGGGTGGGTTCTACCACCTCAAAGTGGGAGGTCAAACTTCATCATGGGCTTTGACTCAGAAATTGTTGATTGGAGTGGTCCAGGGGCTCAGTATACTAACTCCAACATCAAGATTTTAGATAAAACACAAGAGCTTTAGATTATTTCTAGACCCTATGTGTTACTGGGAAGGAAAGTACAGTAGATTTGTCCTCCCAGGGCAACCAAGTGTGTGGTGGGTCACTAATCTGTCGGGTACGACAGGGTTTTTACAAGGAGGTTTAATAAAAGCAGTGTATGACATGTGGTTGGACGTAAACATGGTTCTTCATTGTAGGCTTTTAAGAAATCTTTAAGGGCTGGCCAGATAGCTCAGCAAAGCAGATGCAGGGACTGGGGTTCGATTCCCAGTGTGCCGTGAAGGCCCTGCCCTCGGGGCGCGCTAATCCAGTGATTGAGACTGCGCGTGGTGGCG